GGTTGATTTATCATCGCCTCCGGCTCCATGGTCATTCCATACACAGTATTCTACCCAGCAATTTGGTGGTCAAAATTGTCGCGGATAATCCAGATGGTAAGGTAATTAGACTAGTGTCCAAGCAGTTTTAGAAAGTGTGTACCGGTGAATTAACTGGTAAATCGCACGGATATTTTTTCACTCGAACGGGCCCCAAGTGTGCTTTGGCAACACAACAAATTTACTTTGGCCTTTTTCTAGCTCAAAAGTAAACAATTTTTATGAATTTGCCAATAAACATTAAAGTATAAACATATTTTACTGCCATCTAAATTACAGAAATTGAGTAAACCAAAGGAAGAAAAGATTCTTGATTTACCATCTCCAGGTCAGAAGAGGCATTCATTACAACCGCCTACAAGAACTGCTCCAGCACCAAATACATTCAAGCCTATTAACACATTAAACCATAGGGTCAGTCCTACACCTCCAAATAGATTACCCCCATCACCAACATCCCCTTTTTCCCGTCCTCATTCAAATAGTCCTCGTAGAATATCAACTCCAAGTCCCACGCCCCCTTGTAGGCCACCTCCATCTGCATCTGGTCTTTCAAACAGTAATGTGGATAGACTTACTCCTAGCCCTACTCCTCCAATGAGATTACCTCCCTCAGTGCCAGATAGTAACAGAGGAAGACCTAGCCCCAGTTCATCTCCCCCACCAAAGTTCTTTCCACAAAGTCATGAGCGTTCTAACAGTGGGGGAAAAGGCCCTCCAATAAGACCCCCGCCAGTTTCCCCTTCAAAACTTTCCACAGGTGATTCATCACATTCATCATCTGTTGATTCTCGAGGGCCAAGCCCAAACAAACTCTCCCACAAAGATACAATTGTTATTTGGCATGAAGCAATGTTGATCTACCAGACTGGAAATGTTTCAGAGGCCTTGGACAAGCTTCTGTCAATCCCTGAACCAACAGCTAAGATTCTTTTCAACATTGGAAGCATGCAACTTCTAACTAATGATGTGGTAAATGCAACAAAGGTACAAACAACATAATTTCTTTATTAAAAAAATAATATATAAAGTACATGTATGCCTTTCAAAGAAAGTATGGCAACAGGTAATATTTTCACTCCTGGATAAGCTTGGGATTGATTTTTTTAGCCAACTGTTCATGCATACAAATTACATGTATTAATATAACTAAAAAGATACAGTATTACTGTAGTAATTAATTGTATCGGCTGTATTACATTGAAAATATATTAAAAACAATATCAACAACAAAAAATATAAATTGGAGAAAACAACCACACATGTACATTGAACTCAGGAATTTAAAAGGCAATAGTGTAACATTTGCCCTGTAATTTCCTAGATTTCTTTGTGCAACATGTTTTATGCATAGTTTTTAAAGTTTATAGTACACTTTAGAAGCACAGACTGCACCAAGATAACATATAAAATCCTTCAAGTTTGGCCTTAATTTGCCAATAAGAGATATTTGTGTACTAGCTGTGCTCCAATCCTTCCTTCGGAAAAACTGTATGTATAACAATTTTAATAATATAACAACTATAAAAAAAAAAAAAAGAAATTGGGATTTAAAGCTCTACAAACAAGCATAGTAAAGCTAGTCCCAAGAGTGGTGTCATACTTAAAAGTATATATGGTAATGGTAATGGTTTGGGACTTTTAAAGTGCATATTACATGATCTTTATGCGCTATATGTTACACAAAAGAAACAAACCAAAAACCTAAATCCTAAAGTCTATTCAAGCAACCTTAAAAATCAAACACCAGAAACAGACTATCGTAGGGGAGCCAACATCACCACGCTATCTTCCTGCAATTTGAGACCACTGGCAAGCAGTGGTTTGCAGGATCATAACTCACAGATGCTCAAGTGGTGTTGACGTCTAGACTAGCCTGTCCTAGAAAAACTAAACGATTGAAAATACCTGTAATCAAAAAAAGCAAACAACAAAAATGGAAAAATTAAAAGGTTTGAAAAAGGTAGGTCTTGAGTCTCTGTAAATATCGATACAGAAGGCAACTCTCGGATTTCAACTGGCAGTGCACTCTTCTTGGGAGAAGCAGCTTGAAAGTACCTCTCTCCATATTTAGAACAAATTAAAAGGGTAGATAAAGTATATGGACATGTGGTGGAATGAACACTTCCAGTACAGGTTGATGACCGGAGCTGGATAAGATCAGTCAGGTACACGTACGTAGGTCATAAGTTGTGGATGCATTTAATGGTATAAACAAGGATCTTAAATGTTATGCACTATTTTTTGCGCTGTCTCTTGAAGTTGTATTCGCTTAAGTGATGCATTTGGTAGTCCACATAAGGCTCCATTACAATAGTCAATTCTAGATGTAACAAGAGAGTGCACAAGTTTCAATGAAGCCTCTTCGTTCAAAAACCGTCTGATATGCCTAATGTTTCTAATGTGGTAAGAAACAGATTTAAAAATGTTGGTTACATATTTTTTAAGCGCCATTGTTTTTAGAGCCAAATCAAGAAGTGTACTAGTGTGAGTGTTACCAAGGTCATCAACATGGATGTTGAAGTCACCTGTAATAATAAGGTTGGGGATGAGAGTATTGCTCAAGCATGCAAGAAAATTCAGAGAAAAATTGAATAGTAGGAGCAGGTGGTGGATGGTAGATAGTTACAGTACAAGAGTAATTTCTCGTGTGGTGATTTAGTAACAGCCTCACAAACCTCAAATGAGGAAAAGTTATTAACTTTGTTGCATGATGTGGGGAGCCTGGATTGTACATGTACAGCAATCCCACCACCTGTACTTGAAACACAAGAAAATGAGCTAAACCTAAACCCTTCTGGCTCACAGGCAACAATGATAGCCGAATTCTCATCATGAAGCCATATTTCGGTTATGCAGATGACGTTGATATCATGCTTGGTGATATATTGCGAGAATTGAGTTGATTTATTGTGAATGGACTGGACATTCCACACAGCTAATTTAAGATTGCTAGGTGATATCCAAAAGTCACTGGTACCTGTATAAGACTTAGAGGCTAATTCGTAGAAAGTGGTGAAGAATGCAAATAGTGGGCATTCACAATCTTTTTAGCATGGACCTGTTTTCCGGCACGACAACCACGTCAGGGCGTAGAATATTATATTCCTTTGTTCTGTTAAAAGTAATGGATGGAACTCTTGCTTTAATGTTTCTATTCATAGATAGTAAAGCACTCCTACTATAACAAAGTCTTGTAGAGTGAGTGTTGTTGCTAAGCCTAGTTCTAAGTATAAGAGTGGACCAACTACCTGGCAGTCGATAGGTGTGACATGGCCTCAGACAGGCTAACTGCTCAAGTATAGCAGGTTTTGTGTAGCATAGCCTAGAGTAAGAAAATGAGACGAGTTGTCTACAAGCACTAGGCAAAAGTCTGATATCTTCCACATGGTGTGCACACCATGTTGAAGATATCAGACTTTTCCTAAGCTAGAAATAAAGAAGCGTGCAACCAGTAGATTAAGGAGAAAAAAACTTGCAAAGTTAAATGTTAAGCACAAAAATGTAGACGCAAACAGAAGCTGCTACTTGCAGCACCACCGATTTATTAGAGGGAAGCTCAGCTCTGAATCCCTTCCGTTGATTCAGGTATGACATATATGATATGTAAATAGCATTTAGTTTTCCATAGTCTGGGTTTGATGATTGTTTAATATAATTAAAATGATAATTATGATGATGATGTTAAATATATTAATTTACATTGAGAACATCTTGCTATTATTATTTAATTTAGACATTTGAAGCAGCTGTTGAAAAGGATGAACACATGGCCATTGGCTTCTTTCAGCATGGCATTGCATTGGCTCGGCAATCCGAGTATCAACTGGCATGGGATGCATTTGATAAAGCACGCAGAGCACTACGTAAAAATGACAGCATTGATTACAAGCAGATTGGATTGCCGTATAAACTGTATGAATGCGAGGTAAAGTGCTTTTTGATCAATTAATGTAAGCACTGATACATTAAGGTATTATATCTGAGGTAGGTATGAATGTACAGTATATGATAATTTTTTTCCTGATCACTTGTCTCTACAAATCTATCTGTGGGTGGTTTGGTGCAATGATTTCCATAACAAACTGCAAACCAGCCATCAAGATGTTCAGAAGTTTGGACGGTTTTAAAATCCAAAAACTTTTAAAATATCAAAGTTGGTAAAAATAGTTAAAAGTACTGAGGTTGAGACATTAAAATATTATAAAGATAAAATTTTGATTGAAAAATTAAAACCAGTTTTAATTGTAAACAGCTAACATTAATTCAACATTAAATTTAATTTACCTCTTCCACGATGCGTTAAATTTTCTGATGGCAGAAGGATGAAACGATTTCCCTCTCTCTTCAATTACGCTTTTGGCAATTTTACTAATTCTATTGATTTTCTTCATGTTCATTTGACTTAAGTTATTGTACCACACTATAGCACAGAAAGTGAGCACTGAATAAATAACAGATTCATTAAATAGCTTCATTAGTTTATTACAAACATGGAATCTTTTCATTCTTCTTAGAAAATATAACCTCTGGTGGCATTTAATGGTAATCTGTTTGGTATTTTCTTTCCAGTCTAATTTACTATCAACAACTGTGCCTAAGTATTTATGATTATGGACAACTTCAACTACCTTATTCATTGTTTTTACTTCATCATATATATGATCACCTTTTCTAAAATCGATAATAACCTCTTTTGTCTTTTAACATTTATTAAAGTCAATCGTGACGTCATCACTGCAACTCCAAATCTTATTTGCCTATTCCCCACCGTCCACTAATTTTTCAATTTAATTAAAATTCAAAAATTTCAATTTTTTAATGCATTCAAAAATTTCCTTCGGGCTTTGCAGGCCCTCAGGAAATTTTTCAAACAATAAAATCTAACCTTCGTATAATAACTTTCCTATAGTGTAATGTGCGGAGCTCCACTAATCGCTTAGTATTAGTTTGTTCTTTGAGCACCAGGTTGTGAAATGTTTGATATTATCATGGTATGGATGGACACTATCATCATTACTTTTAATAAGACCAACTAAAGCAAATGTCATCTGCATATTTAACAGTAAAACATCTTATTGTAGAGCAAGCATCTATTGAACACTTAAAATCATCTGTAAAAATAAAATTGGAGATAAAACACAACCTTGAGGTGCTCCTGTGTTACACTTAAGATTTTCTGATATACAATTAGTAAAACTAACATATTGCTCTCAGTAGTTTAAAAAAATTATTAATCCATAAAATAACAGATGGATTAACTCCTAAAACACTCATCTTTATCATTAAAATGTGTGGTTGTATAGTATTAAAAGCAGAGGAGAGAAGTCCAAAAAAAAAAAAATTCTAGCATAGGCATTTGGTTTATCTGTGTAATCAAGAATGTTATGGAATAAAAAGGAAACGGCATCATCAACTCCTCTCTTAGAGCGATATGCAAATTGGCAACCGTCTAATTTATCGATAGTGTCTGCAAGAATAACATTTTTTATAATTTTTTCCAGACATTTTATCTGTATTCCAGTGAGCGTGATGGGTCTATAATCATTTAAGCATGTAGGGTTTTTTTTCTTAGGAAGAGGATGTATTTGTGACCGTTTCCATATTCTTGGAATTTCGTTGGTTCTAAGCGACCAATTGTACAATTGCATAAATACATCAGATAGTTTATTTCTGCACTCTTTTAATTTATCTGGACCACCTGTTTAAGAGGATTTTCTTAAAAACTAATTTTGTTGATTAATGGCATCTCCACTTCAAAAATATAATGTTGGACTTCACTAACTGTCGAACCTTGCTAAAATCTTGGTTATTGAAACGCGAGTAAAAGGAATTCTGTTGTTTTGCCATCTTATGAGCATCTTCTGGTATCACACTACAAACCGATTTTTTGTCATATCCTGTCTATCCTGTCCTATTTGTTTGCTGTTGCTCGATTTAAGTCTCTCCTCCACTTTTTTTCCATATTCCCTCTTACAACATTTAATCTTTTTTAGTACTCTCTGTTTTAGCTTCCTTTCCTGATCATTGTCACATTTATACTTACTTTGCACTAACTTTTTGACATGTCCATTTAGCCATGGCTTATTGTTAGGAAATATTTTCACCTTTTTTTCCTTGATCACCATCATTGTGCAGAAATTAATATAACCAGTAATAGCCTCTGTTATTGCTTCATTTAAGCTTGCATCATCAATCAAAACATTCCAATTCGTAGATTCAAAGCATGTTCGAAGTTTATCAGTGTTATCCTGTGACCAAATTTTAATTTTTCTAATTGTGGTCTTTTATCCTTTGCACATACCGTGGCAACATCAATACTGTTTTATGATCTCTAAGGTTCCCAGCTCAGGTTTGATGACACATTTATAGGTATCAGGAAGATATCCAGACCATTTATCGAGGATGTTCCCAATCCTTGTGGGCTTGTTCACATATTGATGAAAATGAGGAACTACATTTTTTAATTCGCAATGGGCATTGAAATCCCCTAAGAGAATTTTAACAGCATTTGGCGAACTATTATTCATGTCTTTTATAAGATCATGAAGCTAGGCAGCTGAATTCGTCACATTAGCAACCATGGTGATATACACTGCAGTGATGACTAGTTTGGGAAATTCCCTCGGCAAATAGAAAGGTCTGAGGGACAGGGTAAGTATCTCTATATCCGGTGAACAATACTGCCTGTAAATTTGAATATTGAGCACCATCGGTCGTTCACATAGATGCATACCTCTCCTCCGACCTCTTTGCCGGCATCTGGTGTTCTATCTCCCCGTATACACGTATATCCATCAATATGGCTGAGATGAATAAATAGAATAAATGGTGACTGCATGTCATCAATAATGATTGTAACATCAGATCATAAATATCAAAACATCTGAAAAAAAAAAAATAATTATAAATTATGTTAATATCCATTCATAGATTTCGTCTGTCCATTGGTTAGATTCTACCTCAATATTGAATGGTCAACCTGTCTCCATCCATTCATAATAATAATAATAATAATAATAATATTAATAATAATAATAATAATAATAAACTGTTTGTATAGCACCTAATGGATCACAGATCCCTCTAGGCACTTTACATAAATCTTAAACTAGGGTGAAAAACCCAACCCATTGAAATGTCCATTTACAATTTTTTCCATTTACTTTTCATATATAAAACCTTACTTCAAGTAAAAACATTCTATTGCCTAACATATGATCTGATATGAACATTACACATATTATGTTTATAGGTTCTCAACAACCAGTCCCTTATGTATATGTACCTTGGCGATCAGGAATTAGCCAAGAAGGTACTGGAGTTGGCACTGAAGAAGAAAGCTGAAGTAAGGCACAGCAAAATTGATGCAGCTATGGATAAGCTTAAGGTAAGTGTTTTAGTTTGATTTTTTGATTGTTGATTGTGTTAATACATATTGCACTGTATGGTGACACTTTTTTTTTTAACGTAGGTCTTTCTTTTTTTTTTGTTCATTATTTATAGGCCTCATCAGTTTTTGACCTGTTCACATTACCTAAAGATGCAGTTTTCAAACCACCAGCATCCAAGGTAGAAAACATCAAGAAGGTGGATTACCTAGGTCAGAAGAAAGTTGTAGCAAAGTTTGAGGTATGAACACGTATTTGTTTTAGGTACCTGAAGAGATATTATTAATATTGTTGTTACCCAGTCAGCTAGAGGCAGACTCTATGGGTTCTGTTTTCTTAGCGGTGATTCTTGTTCTGGCAACAATTTAAAACGTTACTAATGGCAAACGGTTGGGCCAATTTCAATCAGACTTCGTCAGTATAACCAGTGACATGTCTCATACATGGGATGTTTAGATTTTTTTTAGAATAAACCACGAGACTCCATGTCTCTGATATGTTATGTTTATTAATTAATAATGTAACTTTTAAATTTAAACCATTATTCTTTGTATTCTGTATTTCGATAAATCTGATCGCTATCCCATATTCTCTTAAACTCACGAATCTAAAGCCGGGCTCTCACTGAGTTGTACATCTGTCTTGCAACCAAATCCAATTTTGCTCTCTATGAGCGCTAGACGTTGCAAAACCATCTGCTGATTGTCAGTGACAAGCTGAACACATCATCATTTAAAGCGATCCGTTGCGCATGTCGTTGTGTTATGTTCTTCGTAGAATGACGTCGGCTTAATAAAATCATTATATAATAATCACAAGTATATTTATTTTACCAAGATTAATGAAAGTTCTATGTCTTCATTACATACCGAACTTTCAAAAACTGACTGGTCCGTGGTTTACAGCATTACAGATGATCTCAATCATGCTTACAATCTATTTAATAATAAGTTTACGTCTATATACAATTCACATATATACAATTTCGCAAGAACGTAAACCATGGATTCCTAAGGGTATAATTAAGTCAATTGATACCAGGAACAATCTTTATATTAAATACATAATACATCTGGCATTAAAAGTGACAAAGATTATTAATACATTAAATAGAGGAATAAATTAACCAGTTAATTCGTCACTGTGTGAAGTAATAGTACACTAATAAATTTAATAATTATACAAACAACATTTATAACACTTGGAAAACTAACTATATTCATAACAATTTAGGAAAAAACACTAAATCTTGCTTACTCCATATTTTGTTCACTACAATATAAAAACTACTGATCTATCAACCATTGCCGATGAACGCAATAACTATACTTTACCAGTGTTGGTCACAATCTCGCACAGAGCATCTATAATCCTTGGGGTAAATTAAAATTCTCATCTTTTTTCAATATGTCTCTAAAAATATTCTTTATTTTTACAACTACTACATGAGTCTGAGATTATTGACCTAACAAAGAAATTCAAAGATAAAAGAAGTCCTGGTTTTGATGGGTTCTCTAATAAAATTATTAAGTACAATGGCAGATTCAAGGGGGTCCCTGCTAGCCCGGGCCCCCCAAATTTTTCTTTTTGTTTTAATTATGATTTAGGATTTAGTATCTAAAAAGAACAACAGAGTGATATAACACTAAATTATAGCTTTCATAATTCATCATTTTTATAATAAATTTTTATTAATGTTATGTCGGTCAATTTTGAACTTTGACCCTGATATCAGCTGATCCAATTATCTTATTTCATATGTTTATGCTGATTAGGTACCTAAAAGCGCAACACAGAGATATGACACTGAATTGTAGATTACTGTATATGTAATTAATATTGTAATGGTCAATCAATTGGTATATTCCGACCTTTCACCCAATATCAGCTGATAAAGTCATATTGATTTGCGTATTTTAATACAATTATATTATCTATAAGTACAATATAACAAAGTGCTAAAACACCGGATTTTATGTTTAATATTTTCTATAGTAACCTTTTATAATTAATCAATTTTGACCTTTGACTGTCAATATCTTAAAAATTCCCCCTGGTCTAGAAAAGTTGTATGAATTGAATTAAATTGAAATTGAATTGAATAGCTGAAACCAATAACGATTTTACTCTATTATTTTAACAAAAAGTACTTTTGTTTTATGTTGGTATGAAGGTGACGTCTCAAAGCGTATCAAGACTTACTTCACGGTAACTTAGGCCAAACAAATAAACCAATCATTTTATTTACTAAAAATGTTTTTTTCTTCTGGTACTTTTTGTACTTGTACTTTGTATTAACATAACGTGTCATCATACTCATCAATAATAATAATTCATAGATAATGAATTGCATTCCCCAAGGTTCATTATTAGGTCCACTTTTATTTATTTTGTACATTACCGATATGTATAGATCTTCAAATTCCCTCGCTTTCTTTCTTTATGCTGATGACACAACTGCATTTTATTCTTCCAAAGATATTCATTCTCTTTTCCATACTGTAAATCATAATATGATGCTCATGTCCCAATATTTTGCATGTAACAAGCTATCCATTAATCATAAAAAATGCAGTTTCATTCCATTTCGGAGCCCTCAAAAGGATAAATTTATTGACTCTAAATGTATAACATTTTTATTGATAATCACGTTATACCCCAGGTCTAAAGTGCCAAATTGTTAGGAGTTTACCTTGACAGTGGGTTAACGTGGAAAACGCACATTAAAGAAATCGAAAACAGGTTTCCAAGAGCCTTGGTGTCATTTTTTAACTTCCACATTTATCCCTCCCAATATATTACGTATATTGTACTGCTCCCTGATCCTTCCTTATCTGACCTACTGTAATATTGTATGGGCAAATACCGTAGTACCCATCCAACCTCAACAAACTCTTAACTATCCAAAAGAAGGCAGTCAGGGTTTATCTGGCTCTCCACAGCGATCTCATTCTTCTCCTTTATTCTTGAATTTTAAACTTCATAAACTTTATGATATTAATGCATTAGAGCAATCTATTTTTTATACTCTGCTATGAATTCTCTTCTTCCTTATCATCTTTGTAATATGTTTAAACATACCTTTTCCGTTCATGAGCATCATACAAGAGCTAGGTGATAAATTTACTCTGAATCATCTAAAATTTATACGGCTAAATTTAAAAATCACCTTTCATGCATTATTAAACTCCACATACGTTATCTTACTATACTAAACCTCAAGCAGCTTCTCATAGCTTCCCGGTCTTAATTTGATATTTTTATTTTTTTATTTATTTATTTATTTTTTTTTTTGCTGTTGTGATTTGTCCTTCAAGCATTTTTCAACCCCCCTCCTTCCCCTCTCCAGATATGCCACAGGGTATACTGTATTGTCAAATCGGCAAACTGTGTTTCGGGAAAATGGGATTCATGGTTTCTGAGTAGGCAAACTGGCATTCGGCAAACTAGTTTCAACAATCTTTCTGGCCTAGATCCATACTACTTTTAATAATAAAACTGTAAGTTAAGGGTGGTGTACTGAACACTTGTGGGATAATTAATAATAAAAAATGTTTAGTTAATATAGGTTTATAATTGAATGAAAACATAAATATAGGCCTATATATATTGTTAATTATAATAGATGGCAACTTTTTAAGTCAATTCTAAAATAAAATAGGCCTAGTCTAGTAGTGGTAGTAGGCTTATGGCTTGCCTAGTACAGAAATACTATATAGTAAGGAACTTCATTCCAGATACTTTCTTTCATATCTGAATGTTTAGCTAAACTTCATTCTATTTAAAAATCTGGGTGGATTTTAATTTACTAAAATTTGTGTATATACTGTGGGGAGGGGGGGCCAGTGGAGCGAATCCAGTCACTTGGCTGGTGGGCCAGGTTATGTCCCTGGAGGCCACGGATATTTAACGAATTATGGGGAATTTTTATTACTTATTTGATAGACATCGAGCTACTATATATGAAATCAGCTTCCAAAACCAAAACATTTTGAATAAAACAAGAAACAAAGAGTATGCAATGTAACCATCTAATTTATTTCAAATCCTCATTCTTGAAAGTGAAATTCTTCATTTTGGAAATTTTTGCATGAAATTTGTCAAGGTGGAGGTTGCTTCCACTCACGATGTATTCAAAGCATCATGAGGCTATCCAAACGAGCATTTGTCATAACAAAATGTAAATTATTTTTAATTAGTCAAATTGAACTATTATTATTATTATTATTATTTATTATTATTATTATTATTATTATTATTATTATTATTATTATTATTATTATTATTATTATTATTTATTATTATTGTATTATTATTATTATTATTATTATTATTATTGTGATGAAAAGTTAACACAAATAGTTTAATGAAAGTAAATAATTTTTTTTATTTGTCTATTCCCTGACAAAATTTACTCATCTTCCCTGACAGGGAGCCTATGCTCCCCCCCCCCTCTGGTGCCACCACTGGCCCTAGACCCAACCTAAGCCTCAGAATTAAGGCTAAGCTTAAGGCTTGCTTTACTCTAAAAAATCAATGAAAAAATGCATCCCCTATTGAAAGATCTGCCTACAGACCTGAAAAGTATGTCAACCAATAAATGCTATTTTTATATCAATTATTTTCCAGGTCTAAATGCCACCTTTTTGTGCTGTATTTTTTAATGATTACATTGAATAGCAAAGAGAATTAGCCAGCAGACCAAGCGACTTACCTCCTCGAATCATCATGCACCTTAGTAGCACTCCCCCAGCGTAAGACTCGCACTGCTCGCAAAATTGCACTCCCTGTTGAAAATACTGCCTACAGGCCTTAAAAAGCGTATCTACCAGTGGATCCTATTTTAAAGTTGTCTTTCAGGTCTGAATGTAACCTTTACTCTGTAATTTTTTTTTTCTTATAATTGAACAGGAAAGAGAATTAACCAGCAGACCAATTAAATTAACACCTCGACTCAGCATGGACCTTAGTGGAATTCCCCTTAGTAGCACCAACCCCAACGGAGAGGCATATCGTCGGTCTTCAAGTCCAGGAATCAACATCACACATCATGGTAGCTTAGGCAATGAAAATGTTGATGTTTTTACAAATGTGACGGATGACAACGAATTTGAGGACAACAGATGCTACTCACCACCTGCTATAGATGAAAATAAGGATAGTGACACAGATACTTACGGACCAATCCCAGAAAGTTTGCGTGCACCTAGCCCTGGGCCACCGACTCGCCCAGCCCCGACACCTCCGATTCAACAAATTTGGGAACGAAAGGATAGTCTTGGACCACCAATAAGAGATGCTCCTTCTCCTCCTCATCCATTGAAACCAGAAAACGAAGAAACTGAATTATATACTAATTTTCCAGCGAAAAATAACAACACTGTTTATAATTCTTCTCATCTGTCACCAACAAATAAAAAGCCATTGCCATTACCGAAGCCCACACGTTTCTAATATGTGTAGTTCATTCTTTTACTATTTACTCTTTTGAATAATGATTTTTTTTTGGAACATAGAAAATAATATTTATATTTTAGAATTTATATATTTTTCTACAATATATATACTAATTAGAGGAAGACTAGTTTTTGTATTTTCATTATAATATTTAAGAAGATCACAGTATACTAGAAAACACTGTGTATCATCATTGAATTAAAAAATAAGTAAAGCTTTACTCGGTGGTAGAAAAACAAATGTTGCTGTTTGGTTTTCTTTAGGAAAGCTATGTTTTCTGAGGATTATGCAGGTGTAGGCTGCCAGGTTAGGGTCATCAATCAGAAATCAATGAACCACAGAATTATCAACAGGAAGAAAATCAGATGACTCCCATCCCAACTAATTCTACACATGATCCCCTAAGATAGCCTTATCCACACTGATTTTGCCATATGCAATGGGGTATATTATATTTTATATATTATTTATTGTAAGTTAAAGTTGACTTTACAAAATGGAGGCTTCTTTATCAAACTTAGTAAGTCATTTGCATATTTACATGGGTGTAACTTACTTAGATGATGTTATTATTATTAATGATTTATTTGCTTGGTCTCAATACAATATAATCAACTAATTCCTCCATGATATGATGATGCTTAGTGGTGATTGGTTAATGTATAGATGTTGCCATTAGCTGATTAGCTCATGAGGTCACATTAATTAGCTAATTTTCTTAAATTGAGCATTTATAATTATTTGGTTGTAAATTTGAAATGAATCTAGTCTGGTTACAGCACTCGAAATTAGAGGTTGTCATTCTTGCAGTTAATGAACGAAATCAGCTGTAATATTAGTTGAAGAAAAATAAAAAAACTCAGTATTTGGAGACATGTGTTGGCTGATTATATGAGTATTTTTCAACCGTTGAAAGTGAAAACGAAGATCGTGTGTGTGCAGATGGTGTGAAATAGAAGTGACACTACAGAAGAAAGGCTGTTGTATTAACAAAAATACAATAAGCCACAAGCATAATTGGCTACAGAAAGCAAAACACAAAGACAAAACATAACCTATTTTAAGGTAATTTGGATTATAACAATGTTCTAAAAGATTCAATTGCATATCCAATGGGGTGGGGGTGTGGTGGAGGTGCCTGATCTATCTAGAGGTGTCATAATGGTGGGGCTGAGGTTGTCTAAACCAGTGGCCTGGGGTAACCATAGGTAAAAAATAATAAAATAAATAAAAATCATTAAGCGTATACATTCATCCAGTATCATTTTTGTCTTTTTCCCACAAGAATTGTAAATAAAGCTGACCGTTTATCGATGAAAGCTCGTAATTAATTGCTTCTAATTCTTTTTTTAATGAATATTTTAATTACTTCTACTACTCTAGAGTTTGTTTACATTGGATCAAATAGTAAATTCTTTTAAATTAAATTAATTAATAAATATCATAGGCTTGGACCCTGGACATTGTCAGTGTACATACAAGTTGGAAAATACGAATAGACCTGACAGAGATTCGATTGTCAAATAAATATTGAATTAATATATTAAACCAATGGCGGATTTAATGGGAGCCCCCTCTCCCCTAAATTTAACACAAATTGAGAAAAAAGAGAATTCTACTCAAATTTAGAGGCCCATAGAAATTCCAGATAGCATTTTTTCCCCATTTTTCAAAAATAATAATTACTATCACGGGGCCTCGATAATGGCATGAGTCCCCTAATAATGAGCCCAATTTTTTTTTTTGCGCCTTAAGGCGCAATTTTTCTTGGGCTTCGCGATCGTAGCTGGGGCCCACACGAACCCTTGCCACTTTACAGTTTCCCCTCTTGGCAGCCCTGACTACTGCAAAATATGGTGACCAACCCAGGTTGTACCGGTACCATTCAGTGATGTGTATGTTATTGAGAAATATTTTTTTAGCCCAATGTTATATCAAAGTGACCACAATGTAACTTTACTGTTAGCAGTGGTGGATTCAAGGGAGGCAGCCAGCCTGATCCAACACCCACTCTCCCTCCCTAAAAATTTAATAACTATATAACATGGAGAAAAAATGAAAATTATATTCAAATTTAAGTCTGAGAGCAGTGCCATTTCTGGCCATCTAAGGGTGCTGTACTCATTAATTTTCTTACCTCAGCCCCAAACATGCTGGGGCTGACGTGGTTCACTGTAGACCCCCCATCTGTGAAAGTTCCTGCCTGGGTCTCCTCTGTTTCCATTTACTGGATCGCCAATATATTTTTTATATTATTATTTGTTTCAGATGAATTGTGTAAATATTTAGAATATTGCTTATGTTTATGTTTAGTGGGTTTCAACAGGCCATGGCATCCGAGACTAGAGTTTTAGTTTTGTTATAGAAGTCTGTACAAAAGGAAAATATTTATTATAAGTTTGTTTAAGTGTCGATTCAAATGTGTTATATGCAAGGTTGGGATCTGTAAACAAAAAAATATGGTTTCCCACTCGCGAAGTGTTTTGAATGTCACATTTAAATAATTCTAAATTTTGAGTATTACTTTCCCGGAACGTAGGTACATGCTGAGGAAGAGAATAGACATTTTTTTGAAAGCAGGAAATATTAAAAATAGGCAAATGGTCTGAGACGTCACTATATAGTGTACCATTGTGATTAGAACATTATGTTTAATGTATGATGGTACAGTGACCAGAAGTGAAGCGGTAGTTGAGGTGATTTTGGTAGGGCGGTGTATAAGGGGCAGATAGTTGCTAAACAAAGAATCAACCAAATTAAGAACTTGGATTATTAGTCATATTTAAGAAAGTCTATGTTGTAGTCTCCGAGAAGAAAAAAATATTTTTTTTTCCTTTAGAAAGGTTTGCTAAGGATTGGTTCTAAAGACCTTTTTTTTGATAGGTTATGCCTAATACGATCTTTACATCATTGTTCATTTAGCACTGTTTCTATCATTATCTGATTAGTTATACCACATATACACAGCAACATTGATTCTATATGTTACTTATAATACAGGTATGACTTCTAGAGTATTCTTTGGCAACAGCATATCATTTGTTTGAAGAAGTGTCCTGGTTGGGTTGTATCTGCGATATACCAAGGTAATTCAACTGTTGAATTGCCTTGGATATACCAGGGGCCCATAGTGTTAAATATGTATGGCACTCACCTTGACAGCAAGAAATCACATTTTAATTCCAACCGCCAGGGGCACATTTTCAAACAGTTGAGAAGGAACTTTTTTTTTTTATTTGATAGGCTATTCCCGATACAATACACACATCACTTTTCATTTATTCGGGCTCTGTTTTCACCATTATTTAATTATATAAACAGAGTGCTGCACACAAAAATTAATTATATACATACATAAGATGTGTATAAGAGACAGCAAATGGACTTATTATTTATAGTATGATATATTATATTCCCTTTCATATATTTATATATCATTTGAAAATGATAATTAGCCATCTCATAGACATGAGGTCTATTCGATATTAGTGTCTTCACACCATTAATTTGAATATTTGATTAATGTTTACATAATTTCATTTATGCTAAAACTAGCTTTAATATAAACGATGTTTAATATCTGCATCTATCTCTCTCCCTCTGCACTTGCTCTCATTACATACAAAGCAGTTATTTACTTATTTTTTTATTTTCATTACTTTCGATTGATTACCAATTTGTTATTCCATAAATGTTTTCTATTATGAGATGTTTGATGATTGCATGATATCCCTAATTATACGTATACACAGTCTTGATTCACAGTGCTGGTACTTTACATATGTAAATATGGAAAAAAAATATTTTGGCCGCCATCTTGATATCTAATATGGCCGCCATCTTGAAATTTAATATGGCGGCCTTTTAACATAATTTATGATACTCCCGGATATCAAAAACACGAGTGTCATTTGTTGTAGATGTGACGATATTAACAACATTATCAATAATTAATTTGGCGGCCATCTTGAAATCTAGTATGGTAGCAATCTTGAAATTCAATGATGGCATTCTGACATAATTTCTGATGGCTGCATGATACTCAACAATTCAACAGAAGGACGCACATCTCGGGACATCAAAGGTTATAACTCTGGCATCGACATTCTAGGCGCACGTGCGTCCCTACACGCTGAACGTCACAAAACCATAGCAACCAGACCATAAACCGTTAACGTACGTGACAAATTACTCACGCGCGTGTTAGTTGCCATGATAATCGCGCGTCGTGCAGTGATTACAAAGGCCTAATGATATTTTGCACTAACATTAGACTGAAATTATATTCTTCATTTCAACATTAATTTTACCAAAATTGTGGTGAATTGTCGTTTATGAGACTTACTTCGCAGAAAAAATTAATAAATGTTCTGTACATACTCAAATGTTCATTTTCGGCACCTTATGCCAACATTGTCAAAATGACAGATTAATGTTACATAAGAACATGAAATTTTATAAAATTCGTAAATTTTAAATTGCTATAACTTTTCATTTTCTTTGTCAATTTTCACAAATCATAAGAACATGAAATTTTATAAAATTCGTAAATTTTAAATTGCTATAACTTTTCATTTTCTTGGTCAATTTTCACAAATCAAATTGCAGTTTATAGAAGCATTTAACAATCTCGCGGTAAAAAAAAATCAGATGTAACAGACATTGCGAAGTACCCACAATTAATAAAAAATTGAAATGCTTAGAAGATTCTTAATTCTATTTTCTTAGTCTAGAAATAGAGGAAGTAAGTGAAAAATGTGGTGTTAAATTATAGATGCATTCTTGATATTTATGTATTTGCGGTTAATAAAGCATAGCACCTTTTAGATAGAAAACTTTAGGGGTTTTTGAATGATATCCATGCGCACTTGATTCCCCAATGCTACAGTAGGTTGGTGGGTGCACTTTCTCAGAAATAAATTAGTAAATATTTTTGTAAGTACTTGTATTGTGATCTATGATAATTACTTGTATTGTGATCTATGATAATTACTTGTATTGTGATCTTTGATTACTTATATTGTGTTCTCTGGTAAGTACATGTTCGGACCTTTGTCAGACAGCTTCAGAGAGGCTGTGTGACAATTTAGGGTCTCGTCCGTGAAATAACTGAACGGAATACTTTACAACACCACTGATCAATTAAACTTTGCTTAATGTTAGGGATAATTAATTCAAGATATTTTTAGATTTTGGGATTTGTAGATGACGTTTTGCGGATCTGTAAGTATGGATATTGAAAAGTTTGTAGAAGCAGGCAAAACTTTAGGCTGAATGTAGTAGATTGAGAGAGTTTGTTGAAAAGAGAGGACAGGCAAATGAGAGAGCTGAAAAGGAGAACAAAAGGCAAGAGAAGAATTAGAGAAAAGGGAACGAAGTGAAAGAGAGGAACAAGAAACAAATGTTCAACTAAAAATGCATAGATTGGAAATACAATCAGAGCAGGAAAAGAATAAATCTAAGTCAGGCAGAATATTACCTGTTCCCAACACTGGATCATCCAAAGTTGAAGCAAGTAGACCTAAATTACCAGCATTTAAAGAAGGTAAGGATGATCTGGATTCTTATTTAAAATGATATGAAAGATATGCCAGTAGTTCAGAGCGGAAAGAATGTGGTTGGGCAGTAAATTTAAGTGCTTTATTAACATGAAAATCTTTTGCAGTTTATTCTAGGTTTTTGACTGCTGAAGCTAATGATTAGAGATTACTTAAAACTTCTCTATGGAAGCGTTTCCAGTTGACAGCAGATGGGTTTCGACATAGCTGCGTGAATTGCAAGACTTGAAGCTGGAGAAAGTAGTCACGAACTTGCTGCAAGGTTCTTGGGGAACATCAGCCGAGAACGTTAAAACTCTATGGCTGAAATTGC